TTTTACATGCACACATATAAAAATTGCGGTTTTTATCCAACGCAACCATAGGTTTGAACGTTGTTTTCAATTTAGACTTGTATATATATATACGCAATCATAGGTTTGAACGTTGTTTCCAATTTAGACTTGTATATATATATATATATATATATATATATATACATGTTCTGATAAATAGTTTTTACTTTGAAATAAAAAACATAAACCCTAGTATCTTTGATCTATTGGTAATTGCTTTTTAATGACTATTCGCTAGACTATCTATGGGGACATACCAGGGGCGGATCCAGCCATTTTTAAAAGGATTTCCAAGTTCCAACCCAGGATAAAAGGGGGGGGGGGGTTCCAACCAAATGTCCCATTTAAAAGCATTTATCTTCCAAAAAAGGGGTTTTCACACCCCCAACCCCTGGATCCGCCACTGCATATACTATCTATATGTTTCAAATTTATTATAGCTTTAGTTTTATTGAGAAATTGAAAAATGTTTTCAAGACATGTAAAGCTTCCACTGCAATTTAATTTTGGTCAATTTGTTTTGTCATCTTCTCATGTAAAGAAGTACATGATGGTAAAACACCGCTTTATATCAATAAACAAACTTACACCAACAGCTACCATCTTTTCATTCTTGAGTCAAGAGCCTTTTAAATTCACATATTTTGCAATGATACTAGTGAGTAGATTTAAAAAACTTAGTTAATGAGCTCCATTTAAAAACACCTGCGATACAAGAAGTCAGCCAAAGTAAATTATCATTAGAATATGGCAAAGTGCTCTCGACCAAAGAAATTGTAGGATTGGATGCCTCTTAATTGTGAAGAATAAATGTAAATCATGTTCTTAGTAAAGGATTATCCTATTATTTGGGTCTATTTACAGTTCAAAACAAAGAGTTTCTATGAGTTACAACTGCCCCGAAGCACATTTATTAGATTGAAAGGATTTATCACACAGTGATTGAATCTGACTAAAAGTTGAATTGTGAAACAAACAAAAATCTCAAAATAATTTGAAGTTTACTGGTGCAGTAAAATTTGTACCGTGAATGTTATTATGAAAATATTAATAACTTCAAATTACTAAAAAATTAAACAATACCAAAGCAATAATGCAAAAAAAGAAAAAAAATCTTTCAGATAAAAAATAACCTAAATCTTTAGCTTTCCAAACTTTGATTACTGGATCAGCGGTTGGGAAGAATAGTTATTTCCAATATTCCGATAAAAAAAAAAAACAGGAATTGAATTTTGAACATATTAAAAACTTTAAAAGGCATTATTTTTTAACACTACCCTGACATAATGAAATAATATTTGATGTAAAAAGCTGAACCAAAATATTGGCTTTGAAATAAAATTTAGTTTACAGTTCAAAACAAAGAGTTTCTATGAGTTACAACTGCCCTGAAGCACATGCATTAATTGATTTAAACTGTAAATAAAAAAAAAGATAATTCCTCACTAAAATATTACATGATTTACATTCATACTCACAATCAGGAACCATATACAATTCCTACTTTTTCTTTCTACTGTTGTGTCACCTGATATCTATTACGCATTTTTTTTAAAAATATTTCCCAAATGATAAGAAAGTCCTTACATCACTAAAACTAATCCATAAATGACATGCCGAAAAAGGAAGTCATTCATCAATTATAAACATTGCACTCACAAACGCTAACACTCGTACTTAATCATGAAGAAAGGGATTATCATTCTCTTACATATACATAGACCAATTAAAAGATTACTCAAGTTGTAAATATGTGCTAAATTGGATAGTCTATGAAAAGGTACATACTATGAAATTAAGAGCTGGGGGCAAGCCCCTCACTCTAAATTTCATAGTATATACCTTTTCATAGACTAACCTAGACTTAAACTATAATAAAGAATTATTTGTACTGTCTGAATGTAACATAGTGGAGAGCTAATTAACACTTTTCACCTGGAGCTGTGAACTGTTGTAGTACAAAGGTATCTGGTGTGGACATGTGTACTGCCCAGGTTTGTATGTACTCAATTAGTGCTTTAGTTCTAATATGGAGCATACCAGTGTCAAGGGGTGGTATGGTTTGGGGCAGTACCATTTGGTATATTAGGGAAGTTAAAGTGGAGCATCCAATATTTGTGGTGGGGATGATAGGTACCGGTATTAGAGTATTAGTGAACTTGTAAATAGTTCATGGATTATTCCATCACCGTTGAAATAACAGGATGTGGATTATTCCATCTTAATATTATTGATGTAGTGTATTGGCTATCACATTATTTAAATCAGAAGATTAAAAATTAATCAAAAAAGGAAAGCAAGTTTAAAATATGACTCAGTGATGCAATGATGCAATATTACCAGACCAATGACTTCAGAGAGTTGGAAAGGGGAGGGTTATTCAGAAAATTAAACAGATAAATTTGTTCTATTTAACAGACAGTTTAATTAAATAAACTAGAAGTGTGTAGATATGTTCTATAAATTTACAGGGAGAATAATAGCATCCTAATTATCTTGATTATGTTAGTGTGGCTTGATTAATAACCACAATTTAAAGAAACTAAAACAGACCCCCCTTTTTAATGTACACAGTCATAATATGTTGAGATGAGTTTTTGTCAATAAACAAAATCAGTGCAATCATTCCATACACCAAATAAAGTTGACCTATTGCTTATAACTTAAGAAAAAACAGACCAAAACACAAAAACTGTACAATTTTAGGTTTAGTATTTGAGAGAATTATTGTGTGTGTCTGTTTATGTTTATTAATATACATATGTATATTAAAATTCAAACTGTGACAATTACACATAAATCAAAGCACCAAAAATTCATTTAAAGGCATACAGAAAAATTAATATTACAACAGGTCATGTTAATATTTGAGTATCCTTAGTTTTAATGACTTGTGTATATAAATAGAACATATATCTACTTAAGATGAGGTTGAGGGTTTATATATATTATTATTATTCATTTTCTTAGTCAGTAAAACTATGGTTATAGCTTTGTGTTTTACCCTTGTCCATCTGTACCTACGTACGTACGTACCTACATACGTACGTCCGTCCGTACGTACGTCCCAAAATTGGTTTCCGTTCCCTACCTTGAGTTTGCCTCAACCAGATGTTATGAAACTTATACACAATGCTTATTACCACAAAATATAGATCAAGTTTGAATTTTGGTGGCGTCACTTGAACCATTCTAGAGTTATGCCCCTTTATAAATGGAAAAATTGCAAAATTTTTAGTTTCCGTTCTCTAACTTAAGTTTGCCTCAACCAAATGCTATGAAACTTATACACAATGCTTATTACCACAAAACACAGATCAAGTTTGAATTTTGGTGGCTTCACTTTAACTGTTCTAGAGTTATGCCCCTTTATAAATGGAAAAATTGCAAAATTTTTAGTTTCCGTTCTCTAACTTAGGTTTGCCTCAACCAAATGTTATGAAACTTATACAAAATGCTTATTACCACAAAACACAGATCAAGTTTGAATTTTGGTGGCGTCACTTTAACCGTTCTAGAGTTATGCACCTTTATAAATGGAAAAATTGCAAAATTTTTATTTTCTTCTAAATATCAAGTAATTTTTATTCGACCCCAAAACATTTGCGGTCGTATATTGGTATGACATTGGCGTTGTCGTCATCATCCGAAGACACATTGGTTTTCGCACAATAACTTTAGTTTAAGTAAATGGATCCCTTTGAAATTTTAGCATAAGGGTCAATATCACAAAAGGAAGGTTGAGATTGATTTTGGGGGTTATGGTACCAACAGTTAAGGAAAAAGGGGCCGACAATAAGCATTTTTCTAGTTTCCAGACAATAACTTGTGGAACGGTGTATGGATCTCTCTGAAATTATACCACAAGTTTCCATTCCACAAAGGGATGGCTAGGATTTGCTTTGGAGGGTTATGGCTCAAACTGTTTAGGAATTAGGGGCAAAAAAAGGGGAAAAACAAGGGTGTCCTGGTTAATGGACAAATACTTTGGTACAAAACATAATTAAAAGCAGTGTAAGGGAGGTAATTCAAATACATCATTTGAAATACCTCCCTTACACTGCCTTTAAATTATGTATAAAGTAATTGGTTAATGAACAATTAAGACAATTTAAAAGCAGTGTAAGGGAGGTAATCCAAATACAATGTTTTGATTACCTCCCTTACACTGCTTTTAAATTATGTTTAAAGAAATGCATATTTATAAAGGAAGACCAGTAAAAATATCTGCAGAAGTTGCATTTTTTTTTTACAAAAAAATCCATATAATACGCAACAGCAAAGTGTATTGCACAAAAGAGAAAAAAAAAAGGGAGGGTAAATTTTTTAATTTTTTTGTGGGTGAGTGGGGGTCAATTCGCAACAGCAAAGTGTATTGCACAAAAGCAAAAATTGAATATAAATTCAAATCATATAACCAATTCTAAGTTCTTTGACTACAGTTATTCTGTGTCAGAAACCTTTTATGTGTCAAATATTTAATTACAATCCAAATTCAGACCTGTATCAAGCGCGAATATTGCGTCCATTTTTGCGCCAACAGTTCAGGGTTGGACCTCTGCGGTCGTATCCAGCTGTGCTCCGCAAAGCAATTTATTATTGTTTGAGGAAGTGAGAGCACTTAGAGGGAACCACAACCTTTGGCAGGAAAACTGGCAATCCTAGCCAAGAGTGGAGTCACACACACCTTTCCACTGTTTGAAATTTTTCTTCACATTTTTCTCATTAACTACAAATCATAGCTTCCTAAAATGTGGTATCAAGCTTCATGTGAGGGTGCTTTATTGTGAGATACGTTTTCACATCCATCTCTTTTCAACAACCTGTTTACAGAATACCTGTAGTGGGGATATCAATATGACCAATAGCTCAAAGTTCAACTGGTTTTTTTTCATGAAATCAAATTTGGTATGGAATGGTTAAACTTTATACTATGTAATAAGAAGAAATATTTGATATATCCATGTCTATATTTACAGGCAATAGCTAAGTCAATCAATCTTGTTGATCCAGTTGTTTGTCAGAGCATGTACATTTTCAAGGTAAGAATTACAAAACTAGGGCAGTCTTTTTGAAAAAAAAGCATTAATCAAATGTCTTATCCACAAACAATAAACATATGCTTCAATGATTCACTGTTAAAAAAATGTCTAAATGAAAATCCTATATAAAGTAACATTTTCTTCATTCACAAAACTTGTCAGATTAAAAGAAAATATGCAGATAAACTTTTTGAATTGATGTGAGAGATGTGCATCAGTTACAGAATCATACGATGAGGCATTTAAATCTTCACAGTTCATTACATGTGTTTGAGTTTCATTTCCTTTTACAATGCATTTAAAATCAGGAAGGGTAATTTCGGGTCATAACGTCTTTGCTAAAAACAAAAAAATAGTCACTCATGAAAATTTCCCTTTATACATTATATAGACACATTTAACCATAAAAGTGAAAGCTTCATCATTGCTTTTGTTCCCAGCATTGGTCAGCATACACAGGAAATATCTCAGCTAATTATAGCTTCTCTGAAAAACTAACATTTTTTGTTAAATCTTGTAGGAAGGACATTTCAAAGCAAATAACAAATTATCTATCATTTATTCAAAAGTGTCATGAAATTACTGTAAATTCAGAAATTATTGCGAGGTTTTTATTTATGCAAACAATGCGACTGGGTGACTATCGCAATAATAAGAACTCTCATTCTGATGTATGTTACTGTGGATTAATTAATATTCGTTGGATACCAATTTTCGTGGATTTCGTGGGAACAAGGGAACCACGAATTTAAATGTTCAACGAATTACAAATTTACTTAAGGAATGTATGCAGACTTTGCCAAAACCACGAAATTTAATATCCACGAAAATGCAAGTTTTTCTCATTCCACGAAAATTGGTACCCACGAAAAATAAATGAATCCACAGTACATATATCTGTATGCAGATTTTCATGATATCGCAATAATTAATCTCGCATTTTTGTCCATTCTTGAAAAATCGCAATAATTTCTGAATTTACATTGCTCTAATTTGTAGGGTGGCTTAAAAGCCTTTTAAAGGAACAAATATAAAACATATTTATTCTCTAGTTTGTATTAAACATTTTGTACTAAATATTTTAGCAACCAGGAATAGGAGGAGAAGGTATGTTGAGGTAATATATATCCTAGAATAGTGGCTGTTAGTTCACCTGCTATTTTGCATGTTCAATTTACTGTGAACCAAATTTTTTTGACATTATTCAAGTTACATTTTGGAAGTTGACTTTACAATTTTTTTTTTCATAATTTCATAATATTTTTAGTGTTTTTGTAGAAGAAATATCCAAGTTTGACATTTTTGCCACAATTTATATTCACATTATTTATAATTAATTTTCTTCTCGCCAAAGTGGTTAACAGTAGATTCTCCTGTGTGAGTTGGTTACAATATTTCTTTTCTTTAGATAGTTCAATTTCAATTTTTTTAGAACATTCTAGGTATGGTGAGTTTGAAGCAATAAAAAATTTAGCTATAGAGGATGGAGAAATATTGTCACCCATGAACAGAGGGAAAATTTCTTTCTCCTATATTTCTATCTTATGTGAAACCACATGAATCTATTGTACAATGCAAAAACTTTCACATAAGAAACTACCAATAACCAATCACAGCTCCTAGATTTACTGGTTAATTGCATGAGACATTTCAACTCAAATCTGATTTAAATGAGAGTTTTTAAATACCTTGCTTAGTATCATATGAAAGCTCCCATAGTAGATAATTTTTATCTCTATCCATCTTTTTACCATCCATTAAACTTCCGTGTTGAATGAACTCCTTTTGGTTTTTGGTTGCCATCAGGTTGCTGTCTCATTGAAATATAACACATATCTCCTTTTCTCTAATTCTTCGTCAATTTATCCCTTTCTGCACCCATTGTATAAAAAAAATTTAATCAACGTGTGGTTCGTTTGATCTCAGTTCTTCATTGGTTAAAATCCGATTATGACATCAAATTTTCTTGCTTTCCTCTGAATTTCCTATTGTGACGGCATGAAAAAAGGCGACCATGCCTGATGACGTCACATAGAAAGAACACATCTTTTTGCAGATCATTCAAAAAGAAGGAATAAGTTTGCCTGCATATTGTTTGAAAATCATTAGAGAAACAGATTCCACCACCAAATCTCGTGTAATATGATATTTATCCACTCTCGACAGTTAAATTTTAAATATTTATAATGCTCGGTGAGCCTCGCGTTTTAAATTTGAAAATTTAACTGTCTCGAGTGGATAAATATCGTATTACACTCGATGCAGTGGTAGAATCTATATTTATCATGTTTATATATGTTCCTATTTAATTTTTAGCTGACCTTGCTCAAATGTCAATTTAAAATCATCTTGCAGAATCCATTATCTGTGTCTCATTTTGTACTTATTTATCATTTGTGAGCTTTTGCCATCCCTTTGCATCTTGCATCCCTCGTATGTCTTCTGTCCTCCATCTGTCTGTTGTTCGGAATTTACTTTTTCAAAGATCTTCTCTGAAACCACTGGACCAATTTCAACCAAACTTGTACTGCATGATCCTTAGGGTATCTAGTATAAAGTTTGTGTTTCGATTCTTGTTCATCAAGTAACATGACCGCCATGGCTAAATATAGAACATTGGGGTAAAATGCAGTTTTTGGCTTATATCTCATAATTACACTAAGTAAGAGCAAATATGGACTTGGATAAAAATGATCAGCAGGTCAAGGTTATCTCTTGTGGAATTTTCAGAAAAATCAGATGACCAAATTTGGAGTTATTGCCCCTGAAATATCTTTCTTTTTTATGCCCCCGCTATAGCGGAGGGGGCATTAAGTTTTACCCTTGTCCGTCTGTACGTATGTACGTACGTCCCAAAATTAGTTTCTGTTCTCTAACTTTAGTTTGCCATCTACCACATGTTATGAAACTTATACACAATGCTTATTACCACAAAACACAGATCAAGTTTGAATTTTGGTGGCGTCACTTTTACTGTTGTAGAGTTATGCCCCTTTACAAATGGAAAATTGCTGAATTTATTGTTTCCGTTCTCTAACTTTAGTTTGCCTCAACCAAATGTTATGAAACTTATACACAATGCTTACTACCACAAAACACAGATCAAGTTTGAATTTTGGTGGCGTCACTTTTACCGTTCTAGAGTTATGCCCCTTTACAAATTGAAAAAATGCTGAATTTTTTGTTTCCAATCTCTAACTTAAGTTTGCCTCAACCAAATGTTATGAAACTTATACACAATGCTAATTACCACAAAACACAGATCAAGTTTGAATTTGGGTGGCGTCACTTTAACCATTCTAGAGTTATGCCCCTTTAGAAATGGAAAAATTGCAAAATTTTTATTTTCTTCTTAATATCAAGTAATTTTATTAAAATTGGAGTTATCTTCCTTTGTCCATGATTATAGTTGAATCAACTACAATCAATGCTTTATACAATGCAATGATTAATTTTGACTTCCACTGATAAAACACAGATCAAGTTGAATTTGGGTAGTGTCACTTTAATCATTATTGAGTTATGCCCCTTTATAAATCGAAAGATTGCAAATTTTTAGTTTCCATTCTGTAACTTAAGTTTGCCCCAACCAAACATTATGAAACCTATACACAATATTCATTACTACAAAACTAAGATCAAGTACAAATTTTTTGTTTCCGTTTTCTAACTTTAGTTTGCCTCAACCAAATGTTATTAAACTTATAAATACACAATGCTTATTACTACATAATACAGATTAAGTACAAAATTTGATGGCAACACTTTTACCATTCTTGAGTTATGTCCCTTTATAAACATAAAAATTGCTGAATTTTATGGTCCATTCTCTAACTTTAGTTTGTCTCAACCAAATGTTATAAAACTTATACACAACCGTTCTAGAGTTATGCGTGTTTACAAATAGAAAAATTGCTGAATTTTTAGTTTCTGTTCCCCTTCTTTAGTTAGCCTCAACCAAATGTTATGAGACTTACACACAATGCTTATTACCACAAAACTCAGATCAAGTTCAAATTTGGGTAGCGTCACTTTTACCGTTCTTCAGTTATGTCCCTTTATAACTATATGATATGCAAGCGGCGGCATCATCTGTGTCCACATGTGGACACTATCCACACTTATTTTTTGAAATTTCACAGTTTTTGGTAATTATCTTGATAAATATAACCGAAAGTGAGAAATTTTGAACAGTGAAAATGACCAGAACAATAATATCTACAAATAAGTCAACTGGGTGGAAATCATCCAAATGTTTTTTTCCCTTTTCGCCTTTTTTTTTTTTCGGAAACTAAAATTGATAGAGAGAATCTTTTTGATAGTAAAAATGTTCAACAAAATATGACCTAAATATAAGTCAACATGGATGAATCGTCAATTGACCTCTTAGTTATTACCCTTGAAAGACTTATTATACTTATTTTTTGTGTTTTTTGCAGAAATCATAATAGATAGAGAAATTGTAGAAAGTAAAGTTTTCAGCAAAATAATATCTACAAATAAGTCATATTGGCAGAAATTTTCAATTGAGCACTTATAGGAGTTATTGCCCTTGATAGATGTTTTTTTATCATTTTTTTTCCTTTTTAGAAGAAACTATTATAGATAGATAGAAATTGTAATTACATTGTTGCAAAGATGTTAAGCACAATCAAATCTACAAATAAGTCAACATGGCCCAAATTTTCAACTATTTCTACCAATTTATTAAATTGTTTGCTCAAACAAAGATAAATAGAGACCACCAGTATATAGCAAAAGTGTTTAGCACCATAGGAACTACAGATTAGTCAATCTGTCCGAATTGTCAACTCATCAGTACAAGACTTACAAAAATGCCACAAAATAAGATCTATAAATAAGCAAACATAACTGAATGTAAAAAAAAAATACTGTAATATCAAGAGGGCATATTTTTTCACAAGTTGAGCTATTTAGTTTCTTGGGAGCTTCTTGTTTAATCTTTGTTCTGAAACACTTGATAAAAAGGAATTAGATTGGTGAATAAAAATAGACAGAAGATATTAAAAACTCATAAGTTGAAGACAAACTGACAATGCCATGACATAAAACGAAAAAAAAACAACAAAAAGAAATAGAAATTGTTTTAAGGCAGTTCTTTCTCTTTTATGCATTAGTACCATCATTTATCAAAAATGGCTGTCAGAACTTCATCTCAGAGATGTTCTTAACCTAGCTGCCAACTTAAACTTAAACCGTAATTGAATGCTCCTCATTTCAAAGTTAGTAGATATAAGAAGATGTGGTATGAGTGCCAATGAGACAACTCTCCATCCAAGTCACAATTTGTAAAAGTAAACCATTATAGGTCAAAGTATGGCCTTCAACACGGAACCTTGGCTCACACCAAACAGCAAGCTATAAAGGGCTCCAAAAATGACTAGTGTAAAACCATTCAAACAGGAAAACCAACGGTCTAATCTATATAAAAAAGAGAAACGAGAAACATTTATGACCCACATCAACAAACGACAACCACTGAACATCAGGTTCCTACATTAGGTCCAGTAGCCTCACCTGCTGGAGATCTCATTGGCCAAGAAATGAAAAACATCTCAGATAACTTATCACACTACTATAGATTAGGTGCTTCTTTTTGTTGCATTATCTATTTTTCCCAGATAGTATGGGTTGACATTTTTTGATGATATACAGTAAGAGTCAAAAGAAGTAAATAAGGTTGTTAGAGAAGCACCAGACTAAGAATTGATTAAATCTTTGAACTTATAGACTTGCATCAGGGAACCAGTAGAAAAAATAAGAGGAGTAAAGGATGTAAATTTTAGTCATTACTTTTGCTGATTGTCATATAATACCTCCTTTACCTTGGTATATGCATAAGGACCTTTCCATGGTTATTTCAATGCATGCCCAGTGAGGACTTCCATGAGGTAAATGCATTATTTTTCTATAAATGTTTTGATACACAATTTGTTTTATTGTTAAGAAAGAGTTGCCTTTAGGCAATGGAAGTTAGCATGCTCCCAAAAGGATGATTTCAGATTTATATAGTTTTAAACTAAATCATTTTCCATTTTATATTTTAAGTTATTCCACATCAAGATTCCACATTTCTTTACACTGATCCTATGAAGTTGTTTGGAATCTGGATAGCATTGGAAGATGCAGCTGTAGAAAATGGATGTTTATATTTTATTCCAGGATCACATAAAAGTATGTCCTATAATTCACTATTCTCTTTAATTCATACTTTCACTTCATAATACATGTACATTGTATTCTGAATATTTCTTAATACTTTGTGATCATTATTATTTATGGGATACCAATTTTTATACGACCGCAAAAAAAATTTGCGGTCGTATATTGGTATGACGTTGGCGTAGTCGTCGTTGTCGTCCGAAGACACATTTGTTTTCGCACTCTAACTTTAGTTTAAGTGAATGGATCTCTATGAAATTTTACCATAAGGTTCAATACCACAAAAGGAAGGTTGGGATTGATTTTGGGGGTTATGGTACCAACAGTTAAGGAATTAGGGGCCAAAAAGGGGCCAAAAATATGCATTTTTGTAACTTCCAGACATAACTTGTGTGTTAATGTATGGATCTCTCTGACATTGTACCACAAGGTTCCATATCACAAAGGGAATGCTGGGATTGATTTTGGGGGTAATTGCCTCAAAATTTTTGGAATTAGGGGCCAAAAAAGGGGCAAAAAACAAGCATTTTTATATGGACAAATACTTTGGTACAAAACATAATTTAAAGCAGTGTGAGGGAGATAAATCAAATACATCATTTGAATTACCTCCCTTACACTGCTTTTAAATTATGTATAAAGTAATGGTTAATGAACAATTAAGACAATTTAAAACAGTGTAAGGGAGGTAATCCACATACAACATTTTGATTACTTCCCTTACACTGCTTTTAAAATATGTTTAAAGAAATGCATATTTATAAAGGAAGACCAGTAAAAATATCTGCAAATGTTGCATCTTTTTTTTTTACAAAAAAAATCCATATGAAAGATTTGACACCATATTTTAAGAAATTGTGGGGGGTCAATTTTTTCTCATTTCAGATTTCAGAAATTAAAAAGAATTATTCTTCAAATATTATTTTTTTTTCAAATTTCAAGAAGTAATCTTTAATTGCACAGTATGGCGCATTAGATTTGTAAAATCTTTGACCACATTTATTTATTTGTTATGCCAAATCTGACTTTGTATTTAGATTTATAATTTTGGGTCCAGTTTTCAAATTGGTCTACATTAAGGTCCAAAGGGTCCAAAATTAAACTTAGTTTGATTTTAACAAAAATTGAATATATGGGGTTCTTTGATATGCTGAATCTAAACATGTATTTAGATTTTTGATTTTGGGCCCAGTTTTCAAGTTGGTCCAAATTGGGGTCCAAAATTAAACTTTGTTTGATTTCAACAAAAATTGAATATATGGGGTTCTTTGATATGCTGAATCTAACCATGTATTTAGATTTTTTATTTGTGGGCCCCACTATCAAATTGGTTCATATTGAGGTCAAAAGGGTCCAAAATTAAACTTTTGTTTTATTTCATCAAAAATTGAATTATTGGGGTTCTTTGATATGCCAAATCTAACCATGTATTTAGATTTTTAATTTTGGGTCCAGTTATCAAATTGGTCTACATTAAGGTCCAAAGGGTCCAAAATTAAACTTAGTTTGATTTTAACAAAAATTGAATATATGGGGTTCTTTGATATGCTGAATCTGAACATGTATTTCGATTTTTGATTTTGGGCCCAGTTTTCAAGTTGGTCCAAATTGGGGTCCAAAATTAAACTTTGTTTTTGATTTCAGCAAAAATTGAATATAAGGGGTTCTTTGATATGCTGAATCTAACCATGTATTTAGATTTTTTATTTGTGGGCTCCGCTATCAAATTGGTTCATATTGAGGTCAAAAGGGTCCAAAATTAAACTTTGTTTTATTTCATCAAAAATTGAATTATTGGGGTTCTTTGATATGCCAAATCTAACCGTGTATTTAGATTTTTAATTTTGGGTCCTGTTTTTTAAATTGGTCTACATTAAGGTCCAAAGGGTCCAAAATTACACTTTGTTTGATTTCATCAGAAATTGAATTCTTTGGATTCTTTGGTATGCAAAATCTAACCATGTATTTAGATTTTGGATATTGGACCAAAATAGGTAAATTAAAAAATTTAAGTTCTTAGACCACATTCATTCTGTGTCAGAAACCTATGCTGTGTCAAATATTTAATCACAATCCAAATTCAGAGCTGTATCAAGCTTGAATGTTGTGTCCATACTTGCCCCAACTGTTCAGGGTTCGACCTCTGCCGTCGTATCAAGCTGCGCCCAGCGGAGCATTTTATTGTACATTCAATTTATAACATTTTCAGCTATTAAAGGCATTAATAATAAAGAACAATTTTATTTTACTTTCATTTTCATGTTGACAATCTATTTATATTATTTCTATTTATACTTTCATTTTCACTTCCTCTTTCATAACAACTACTATATTATGACGTCACGCTGTCTTTAGACAACCCGATTTTATACTTTTAGCATATGTCAATGTATTATCTGTATCCTGAAGACGTTGCCGTAGGCACTGTAACATGTAGATTAATAAACTTTCTGCAGCAGTCCCTAAAGTGTTGTTGTTATGAGACTTTCTACATACTGGTTTAAATGTTCAACAATGAACAATTTTTATGCCCCCGCCGTAGCGGTGGGGGCATTAAGTTTTGCCCTTGCCCATCTGTACTTCCGTCCGTACGTCCCAAAATTGGTTTCCGTTCTCTAACTTGAGTTTGCCTCAACCAAATGTTATCAAACTTATACACAATGCTTTTTACCACGAAACACAGATCAAGTTTGAATTTTGATGGCGTCACTTTAACCGTTCTAGAGTTATGCCCCTTTATAAATGGAAAAATTGCTAAATTTTTATTTTCTTCTAAATATCAAGTAATTTTTAAAATTGGAGTTATCTTCCTTTGTCCATGATTATAGTTGAATCAGCTACAATCAATGATTTATACAATGCAATGTTTAATTTTGACTTCCACTGATAAAACACAGATCAAGTTTAATTTGGGTAGTGTCACTTTAACCATTATTGAGTTACTGTGGATTCATTATTATTCGTGGGATACCAATTTTCGTGGATTTCGTGGTTAAAGGTGAACCACGAAATCAAATGTTTAACGAATAGCAAATTTCCTATAGTCTTATATGCAGACTTTGGCAAAACCACGAAATCAAATATGCACTGAAAAGCAAGTTTTCCTCAATCCACGAAAATTGGTTCCCACAAAAATAAATGAATCCACAGTATGCCCCTTTTTGTATCGAAAGATTGCAAAATTTTTAGTTTCCATTCTGTAACTTAAGTTTGCCCCAAAAAAACATTATGAAACCTATACACAATATTCATTACCACAAAACTAAGATCAAGTACAAATTTTTTGTTTCTGTTTTCTAACTTTAGTTTGCCTCAACCAAATGTTATGAAACTTATACACAATGCTTATTACTACATAATACAGATTAAGTACGAAATTTGGTGAGAACACTTTTACCATTCTTGAGTTATGTGCCTTTATAAACATAAAAATTGCTGAATTTTTCGTTTCCGTTCTCTAACTTTAGTTTGTCTCAACCAAATGTTATAAAACTTATACACAACCGTTCTAGAGTTATGCGTGTTTACAAATAGAAAAAATTCTGAATTTTTAGTTTCTGTTCTCTACTTAAGTTAGCCTCAACCAAATGTTATGAGACTTACACACAATGCTTATTACCACAAAACTCAGATCAAGTTCAAAGTTGGGTAGCGTCACTTTTACCGTTCTTCAGTTATGTCCCTTTATAACCATATACTATGGAAGCGGGGGCATCATCTGTGTCCACATGTGGACACTATCCACATTTTTTTTTTTGTTTGCTTTTTTTGTTGTAAAAATCTTTTTCCATAATGTACATTCTCAATAACGACGACTTTAGTATGAACACTAAAGAGATTTATACTGCTGAACTGACTTTAAATAAAGCTAAAACTAACAATGAACACTGCCCTTTCCTGGATCTTGATATCTATATCTTTAACGGAAGCTTAATACCAACATTTATGATAAAAGAGATGATTTTTCATTTCCTATTGTTAATTATCCACTTTTAGATGGTGCCGTTCCCACCATCTTATGGTGTTTGTTCGATTCACTCGTGTATGTAACAACGTATTTGATTTTAACGAAAGAAACCTCTATATTTTTGAAAAAATATTGCACCAGGGTTTTCGATATCACAAACTAATCAAAACATTGACTAGATTTTATCATCAGTACAAGGACATCATTCGTAAATATAAATCAACATGCAGACATCTTAAACGTTCAGGTATTTCACATCCAATCTGGGGACACTTTTACCGTTCTTCAGTTATGTCCCTTTATAACTATATTATATGCAAGCGGGGGCATCATCTGTGTCCACATGTGGACACTATCCACATTTATTTTATAAGCTTGTATGCAGACTTCGGCAAAATCACTAAATCCAATATCCTAGAATGTACATTTTTTCCTCAATCCACAATAATTGGTACTTATGAAAATAATTGAATCCACAGAAGGTAAAAACTTAAATCAGATGACTGAGATGTAAAGATTTTAATAGTAGACAATAAAGACATGTTTCATTTGCAAAAAATAATAACTTAGAAAACAGTGCAGGATCTCAAAGAAAACTGACACAGACTTGACAACTATCCAAATTAATGGGGGATATCCCCCATGTGAGGTGTTGACCTGAATTTTGAAATACTTTATTATATAAACTGAACACCTCAAAACAGGTATTCAAATGAGTTAGTGGATATTTAAGCACATACATACTCTTTCAAACAATAGAGTAGAAGATTAAAAACACTTATGACAATATAAGAGGCAGATTAGGTCCTCTTGCACTTAAAATCCCCCATGGATATTTTGAAAAGTTGGCAGGTATGCTGACAAGATAATTACCAGTATCAAAACAATATGATTATTTAACTATGAATCCACTCTAAAAATCATCGCTCAGATCTGCTTCCTGTGCATATGGGTCAAAGACTTAGATGGCCAGGTTGAAATGTTTTTCAACAAATTTCTAAATAATTCATCTTATCAAATGAAACATTTCTAAAATGTCACTTAGGTCTCTTTTATTGATATAACTCTTTACTTTACTACATATTTATACATCCCTTGCTTTCAAATTTTTGGCTTTTAGGATTTTTGATGAAGGTAAATCCAGAAAAACGCCTCAGACTGATGTAATTTATAAAGTGTTATTTCCTATTTTTCTGGATTCTACAGAACTTGTTTAGTTGAAACTAAAAAAAGATCAGCAATTTATTTCAACAAAAGGGTAAACTATGTAATCATCAATTATATATCAATCTAACAAATCAATAACAAGATATCTGCAGAAATCACTGTACAGAATTCAAATATTGATTATTGTAAGTTCTATATACCTCCAACACCAAATTTCAAAGAAAGACTGAAAATCAGAGCAGTTGTGACAGTGCTTTTAATAGCTCATGTACTTGACATTTACTGAAGGGCTTTTTTCGATTTGACTAAGAGAAATATTTGAAATTTTATACGCACAAAATATATCTAACAAAATGAAACTTGCAGTTTGTTTCATAAGATGAATAGTTGTGAATTTTCAAAGTTTTGTGCTGATTGATAGATTTATAAAGTATTTATGGTCCTTTTCTAATTAAGTTAGAAGATAGTAGGGAGATATCAAATAACAAGCTTTTTATCAGAATTTGAATATTATTATGTATTTAAGGTGGTATCTATGGCAACAGAAGAATGATCAGAAACCCAGATAAGAGTGAAGGACAGTCTACATGTACTTTCAGAGGTGAAACAGAAAAGTTTGATAACAACAAGTGGGTATCTGCACCAGTGAAGAAAGGTAATATAAATAAGAAGATGTGGTATGAGAGCCAATAAGACAACTCTCCATCCAAGTCACTATGTATAAAAAGTTAACAATTATAGGTCAAAGTACGGCCTTCAACACGGAGCCTTGACTCACACTGAACAGTAAGCTATAAAGGGCCCCACAATGACTAGTGTAAAACAATTCAAACAGGAAAACCAACAGTCTAATCAATATAAAAGACAAGAAAAGAGAAACACCTATAAACCACACCAACAAATGACAACCACTGAACAACAGGCTCCTGACTTAGGACAGGTGCACAAAAATGCAGCGGGTTTAAACGTTTTAACAGGCGCCAACCTTCACCCTAAACTGAGACAGTAGTGTTTGATAACTCCAGAATCTAAAAAATAATTTCAAAGTATTGTAGAGAATTTTTAAACATTCAATATGAATAAAATGAAGTATTTATATGACCGCAAAAAATTTTTTGTGGTCGTATATTGGTATGACGTTGGCGTCCTTGTCGTCGTCGTCGTCGTCCGGAGACACATTAGTTTTCGCACTCTAACTTTACTTTAAGTGAATGGATCTCAATGAAATTTTACCATAAGGTTCAATACCACAAAAGGAAGGTGGGGATTGATTTTGGGGGTTATGGTATCAACAGTTAAGGAATAAGGGGCCAAAAAGGGGCCAAAAATAAGCATTTTTCTAGTTTCCAGACAATAACTTGTGTTTAAGTGTATGGATGTCTCTGAAATTGTACCACAAGGTTCCATATCACACAGGGAATGCTGGGATTGATTTTGGGGGTAATTGCCTCAAAATATTAGGAATTAGTATGGATCTCTCTGACATTTTACCACAAGGTTCCATATCACAAAGGGAATGCTGGGATTGATTTTGGGGGTAATTGCCTCAGAATTTTAGGAATTAGGGGCCAAAAAGGGGCAAAAAACAAGCATTTTTCTAGTTTCATGACAATTACTTGTGTGTAAGTGTATGGATCTCTCTGAAATTGTACTGCAAGGTACCATACCACAAAGGGAAAGCTGGATTTGAGTTTGGGGGTAATTGCCCCAAACGTTTAGGAATAAGGGGCCAAAAAGGGGCCAAAAATAAGCATTTTTCTAGTTTCCAGACAATAACTTGTGTTCAAGTGTATTGGATCTCTCTGAAATTGTACTGCAAGGTACCATACCACAAAGGGAAGGCTGGGATTGAGTTTGGGGGTGATGAATCATAAGGGGGTTCAAAAAATTGGGGGGGGGATTTTTTTTTTTTTCCTTTTTTCCTTTTTAGCTCACCTGGCCCGAAGGGCCAAGTGAGCTTTTCTCATCACTTGGCGTCCGTCGTCCGTCGTCCGTCGTCGGCGTTAACTTTTTACATTTTGAACTTCTTCTAGAGAACCACTGAATGGAATGAAACCAAACATGGCATGAATGTTCCTTATGAGGTGCTGACCAAGTGTTGTTACTTTGTAGCCGATCCATCATCCAAGATGGCCGCCAGCAGGGGACTTAGTTTAACATAGGACCCTACGGGAAATGCATACAAATGACTTCTTTTAGAGAACCACTGAATGGAATGAAACCAAACATGGCATGAATGTTCCTTATGAGGTGCTCACCAAGTGTTGTTACTTTGTAGCCGATCCATCATCCAAGATGGCTGCCAGCGGGGGACTTAGTTTAACATAGGACCCTATGGGAAATGCATACAAATGACTTCTTTTAGAGAACCACTGAATGGAATAAAACCAAACATGGCATGAATGTTCCTTATGAGGTGCTGACCATGTGTTATTACTTTGTAGCCAATCCATCATCCAAGATGGCCGCGATCCGGGAACTTAGTTTAACATAGGACCCTATGGGAAATACATACAAATGTCTTCTTTTAGAGAACCACTGAATGGAATGAAACCAAACATGGCATGAATGTTCCTTATGAGGTGCTGACCAAGTGTTGCTACTTTGTGGCCGATCCATCATCCAAGATGGCCGCCAGCGGGGGACTTAGTTTAACATAGGACCCTATGGGAAATACATAAAAATGTCTTCTTTTAGAGAACCACTGAATGGAATGGAACCAAACATGGCATGAATGTTCCTTATGAAATGCTGACCAAGTGTTGTTACTTTGCAGTCGGTCCATCATCCAAGATGGCCGCCAGCGGGGGACTTAGTTTAACATAGGACCCTATGGGAAATACATACAAATGTCTTCTTTTAGAGAACCACTGAATGGAATGAAACCAAACATGGCATGAATGTCCCTTATGAGGTTCTGACCAAGTGTTGTTACTTTGTAGCCGATCCATCATCCAAGATGGCCGCCAGCGGGGGACTTAGTTTAACATAGGACCCTATGGGAAATACATACAAATGTCATCTTTTAGAGAACCACTGAATGGAATGAAACCAAACATGGCATGAATGTTCCTTATGAGGTACTGACCAAGTGTTGTTACTTTGCAGTCGGTCCATCATCCAAGATGGCCGACAGCAGGGGACTTAGTTTAACAAAGGACCTATGGGAAATACATACAAATGTCATCTTTTAGAGAACCACTGAATGGAATGAAACCAAACATGGCATGAATCTTCCTTATGAGATGTTGACCAAGTGTTGTTACTTTGTAGCCGATCCATCATCCAAGATGGCCGACAGCGGGGGACTTAGTTTAACATAGGACCCTATGGGAAATACATACAATTGTCTTCTTTTAGAGAACCACTGAATGGAATTGAACCAAACATGGCATGAATGTTCCTTATGAGTTGCTGACCAAGTGTTGTTACTTTGCAGTCGATCCATCATCCAAGATGGCCGCTAGGGGGGGGGGGGGGGGGGGGGGCTTAGTTTAACATAGGACCCTATGGGAAATACATACAAATGTCTTCTTTTAGAGTACCACTGAATGGAATGAAACCAAACATGGCATGAATGTTCCTTATGAAGTGCTGACCAAGTGTTGCTACTTTGTTGCCGATTTACTGTTCAAGATGGCCACCAGGATATTTTATTAAATAACAGGACCAATATTAATCAAAATTTGGCCTCAATCATTATTTGGGTATCTGTTATGATTTTTATCTATCTTTACATGATTTCTAAAACCAAAGTAGAGTCAGGTGAGCGACACAGGCTCTTGAGAGCCTCTAGATTTTTTCTTTTAAAAATTTCCATTTTAAGTTGGTTATTTCTGTTTTATATTTAAAAGCAAATAATAATGATATGGTAGGAGATACACACCAAACAGGATGTGTAAATTATTATATAATAAGTATTGTGCAATAGCAAGAAATTTTCAATTGCACAGTATTGCACAATAGCAAGAAATCTTCAATTGCACAGTATTGCGCAATAGCAAGAAATCTTCAATTGCACAGTATTGTGCAATAGCAAGAAATATCCAATAGCACAATATTGCGCAATAGCAAGAAATTGTCAATTGTACAGTATTGCGCAATAGCAAGAAATATTCAATTGCACAGTATTGTGCAAAAGAAGATACTTCATATAAATTGCTTATTTCTTGACCAATTTCAATGGGGTTTTATTCTTGAATTCTTGGGGTTCTTTAATATGCTGATTCTAACCGTGTATTAAGTTTTTGGATTTTGGGCCCCGTTTTTAAATTGGTCCACATTGAGGTCCAAAGGGTCCAAAATTAAACTTTGTTTGATTTCATCAAAAATTGAATTATTGGGGTTCTTTGATATGCTGAATCTAACCGTGTATTTAGATTCTTAATTTTTGGTTCCGTTTTCAAATTGGTCTACATTAAGGTCCAAAGGGTCCAAAATTAAACTTAGTTTGATTTTAACAAAAATTGAATTCTTAGGGTTCTTTGATATGCTGAATCTAAACATGTATTTACATTTTTGATTATGGGCCCAGTTTTCAAGTTGGTCCAAATCGGGGTCCAAAATTAAACTTTGTTTGATTTCAACAAAAATTGAATATATGGGGTTCTTTGATATGCTGAATCTAACCATGTATTTAGATTTTTGATTTTTGGGCCTCATTATCAACTTTGTCCACATTGAGGTCAAAAGGGTCCAAAATTAAACTTTGTTTGATTTCATCAAAAATTTAATTCTTAGGGTTCTTTGATATGCTGAATCTAACCATGTATTTAGATTTTGGATATTGGACCATAATAGGTGAACGTCCAATTTAAAATTTTTTAGTTCTTAGACCACATTCATTCTGTGTCAGAAACCTATGCTGTGTCAAATATTTAATCACTATCCAAATTCAGAGCTGTATCAAGCTTGAATGTTGTGTCCATACTTGCCCCTACTGTTCAGGGTTCGACCTCTGCGGTCGTATCAAGCTGCGCCCTGCGAAGCATTTTATTCTAGTTTCATGACAATAACTTGTGTGTAAGTGTATGGATCTTTCTGAAATTGTACTACAAGGTTCCATATCACAAAGGGAAAACTGGAATTGAGTTTGGGGGTAATTGACCAAAAAGCTTAGGAAGAAGGGGCCAAAAAGGGGCCAAAAATAAGCATTTTTCTAGTTTCCAGACAATAACTTGTGTTCAAGTGTATGGATCTCTCTGAAATTAAACTGCAAGGTACCATACCACAAAGGGAAGGCTGGGATTTATTTTGGGGGTAATTCCCTCAAAATTTTAGGAATTAGGGGCCATAAAAGGGCAAAAAAACAAGCATTTTTCTAGTTTCAGGGCAATAACTTGTGTGTAAGTGTATGGATCTTTATGAAATTGTACTGCAAGGTTCCATATCACAAAGGGAAAGCTGGATTTGAGTTTGGGGGTAATTGCCCCAAACGTTTAGGAATTTGGGGCCAAAAAACAAGCATTTTTCTAGTTTCCAGAAAAAAACTTGTGTTCAAGTGTATGGATCTCTCTGAAATTGTACTGCAAGGTACCATACCACAAAGGGAAGGCTGGGATTGAGTTTGGGGGTGATGCTTATTAAGGGGGTTCAAAAAATTTGGGGGGGGGGGGATTTTTTTTTCCTTTTTTTTCTTTAAAATTTTCCATATTAAATTGTTTTTTTCTGATTTATATATAAAAGCAAATAATAAATGATATGGTTTGAATAGGTAAATTAAAAAAATTTAAGTTCTTAAACCACTTTCATTCTGTGTCAGAAACCTATGCTGTGTCAAATATTTAATTACAATCCAAATTCAGTGCTGTATCAAGCTTGAATGTTGTGTCCATACTTGCCCCAACTGTTCAGGGTTCGACCTCTGTGGTCGTATCAAGCTGCGCCCCAGCGGAGCATTTTATTAAGTTATCAATTAGATTGTACAGTTAGGTTACATTGACTGCTATAAAAGATGCTAAGAAAATTTACAAAAGCTCTGAATAATTAAATCTATCAGGTTTCAGGGAAATCTTCCATTAATGTGAAACGCTTGGTAAACATTCACAAGCTAGCTCATATGAGTCTCTAAGTTACCATACACCTGTAGTTGTATTCAAAACTGAATTATTATTAGGTTGTTGAAGTGTTTCATTATAAGAAAGGATAATGAAAATAATTTTCATTACAACCGGTATTAGAATATTTTAACAATTTAAAGTACAGTTACGCTAATCATATTGCAAAGAATCAATGAAACAGTCACCTAGAGTGTTTATAATCTTTAAATAAATATTAAACTGGTGGGCAATGGACAATGGCATTCATCCCAGAAGTCTTCTCTTTTTACATTGTGTTAATAAAATGTACAGACTTTCCCAAACAAACAAAATATTGAACTTGAACGTAGATGGAAGATATAGGTTGAACACAATGATATTTTGTTGATTCACTGTCTTTTAAGGTGGCCTTGTTCTGATACATGGTGAGGTGGTAGTTATAGGTTGAATACAATGATGATTTGTTGATTTTATGTTTTTTCAGGTGGTCTTGTTCTGATACATGGTGAGGTGGTTCATAAGAGTGAGCGAAATACATCTGATAGTTCACGCAATATCTACACCTTTCATGTATATGACCAAAAAAATACTAAGTGGTCAGAGGAAAATTGGTTAGTATACTAGTATATACTTATACCAAAAGCTTGTTGATACCAAAGGTGCAAGCAGAAATTGTATTAGAAGTGAAAGGACAGGAAACATCATGGCCAGAAAAAAAGTTTTCGCAAAACATTACACAGAAAACTGAAGTTCAAATAACACATCAAACTAAAAAGCAGAGATGATTTCAAGTACTCCAGCGGTGTAAAGAGGTGTTTATATTTATAAAAAGTGACAACAATAGACTATTTCCATATTACGGACTTGGTACTCGATCATTTAAGAGCAACTAAAAGAAATAAAATTAAGCTTACAATCGGTGCAATTTTGGGGGGAAAAATAACTGTCTTATGTTTTCTACACATGCACATAATCATAAGAAAACAGTTGATTTTTCCCCCAAATTGCACCAATTGTACGCTTGATTTTACTTCTTTCAGTTGCTCTGACTGAGTACCAGGATGTCCTACCACAGAGTAGGTAACCTGTCAACAAATTATATACTCCAGAGTCAAAAGTCGGTAATATGAAAATAGTCTATTGTAAATGTGAACAAACAACAATGAAACAAAATTAAAAAAATATGAAACAAAAGAATAATTAATATTGGAACATCAAATAAAAATGTAATGGCTTTTTAAACTTTCTTTGACTGTTGTTGATATAGAGTATGACAAAAACAAATTAAGAAATACAATATGAAACAATGACTGCAGTTACAAAATACAAAATTTGTACATATCAAAATATAAACTAAATCAACCATTAATAGTTCATATTTTTATTTTTTAAGGCTACAACCAACAGAAGCAGTGCCATTCACACCCCTGTATGCAACTTCTCCTGAATAACATTTGTTACTTACAAAAGCTGATTCAAATGGAGTCATGATATAGACAGATATTTCGCTGAATATCTTTGATTGTTTCATCCTGACACCAAGTCAAATTGATTTTATAATAATTATGGATTATTGTAATTTTGAGATGTGATTTAAATGATTTTGTAATAATAATAAATAATAGATAATGAAATATATTATGGACAAATATTCTATATCATTATATCTTCATGCAAACAGAACTGAAAACTGACTTTATATTAAAAGGATTATATTTTTATGTTCTTATATGAATAAAATGCACATCAAAAAGCTTGTGAAAAAAATGTGTTTTTTTGTTTGTTGTATATTTGATTCTGTATGAATGGATATTATAAATTAGTAATATTATCAAGGGACAAATATTTACTTTCTGAAAACTTCAGATCATCTTTACTAAATGTAATAACTATTGCACTCACATCTAATTATTGCGGGTAAAGTTGCACTCATAAAGGCTGTTTGTCACTTGCTTGAATATATCAAGCTGTATTTCAGGCTTCTTCAAGTCTTCTCTACCTTTGTGAGTAAAAACTACAAATTACAGAGATGAGAACAGTCTTAAAATCCAATCTATGTCCATGTTAAGCAATACATTAACAGAATATTTTCAGATATTTAAGTTACAAGATGATGTGAATGTGTATAACCAAAATTGCCGAGAAAAGTTATAGAAAGTGGTGCATGGCATATGAGTCTATCTTTTCTACCTACAATTTCAGTCAAGGGAGAAAAACTTAATTAAAAACATTATACCGCTGCTCCAAACACCAAAGGAAGGGGGTTATACTGTTTTACGTCTGTCTATTTGTCAATCCATATGTATGTCCCTCTCATGAAATATCTGTCACATTTTTCTCAGGAACTACAAATAATAGCATCCTTAAATTTCTTCGGCATCATGCTATACAAGTAAGAACAGAATGACAACAGTCAATAACAAGATCACAACAGTTGGAGTAATAACAAGATCATAACAGTTGGAGTAATAACAAGATCATAACAGTTGGAGTAATAACAAGATCACAACAGTTGGAGTAATAACAAGATCACAACAGTTGGAGTAAGTACAATATCACAACAGTTGGAGTAAGTACAATATCACAATAGTGATAGAAAGCACAAAATCACAACATTCAGTAAATACAAGATCACCACAGTCTGAGTAAATACAATATCACAACAATCGAAGTAAGTACAAAATCACCATAGCCAGAGTAAGAGCAAGATCACGACAGTCGGTGTAAGTACAAGATCACTACAGTCCGAGTAAATGTGGGATCACAACAGTCAGGGTAAATACAGGATAACAACTATCAAAGTAAATGCAATATCACATCAGTCGAAGTGATTACAAGATCACCACAGTCCGAGTAAGTACAATATCAAAACTGTCAAGGTAATCTCAAGATCACGACAGTCACAGTAAGCACAAAATCACAACAGTTGAAGTAAGAACAAGATCACAATAGTCAAGAGTAAGAGCAAGATCACGACAGTCGGGGTAAGTACACGATCACTACAGTCCGAATAAATGCAGGATTACAACAGTCAGGATAAGTACAAGATCACAACAGTCAGAGTAAGTACAGGATCACAACAGTCTGAGTAAGTACAGGATCACAACAGTCTGAGTAAGTACAAGATCACAATAGAGTAAGAGCAAGATAACAACAGTCGGATTAAGTACATGATCACAATAGTCAGAGTAAGTACATGATCACAATAGTCAGAGTAAGTACTAGATCACTACAGTCAGAGTATAAATACAGGATCACAACAATCGGAATAAGTACAAAATCACAACAGTCAGGGTAAGTACAAGATTCTGACAGTCAGAGTAAATACAAGATCACAACAGTTAGAATAAGATCTTGATCACAAAAGTCAAGGTAAGTACAAGATCACAACAATCAGAGAAAAAACAAGATCACAACAGGCATAGTAAGTACCAGATTACAACAGCCATAGTAAGTATCAGATCACAGCTACCATAGTAAGTATCAGATCACAACAGTAATAGTAAGTACCAGATCGCTACAGCCATAGTAAGTACCAGATCACAGCAGCCATAGTAAGTATCTAATCACAACAGTCTAGGTAAGTACAAGACAGCAACAATCAGGGTTAATACAAGATCACAAAAATCAGAGTAAATACAAAATCACAACAGTGCGAGTGAGTACAGGATAACATTATCCAGGGTAAATATACAGGATCACAACAGTGCAAGTGAGTATAGGATAACATTATTCAGGGTAAACATACAGGATCACAACAGTCCAAGTGATTACAAGATAACATTATCCAGGGTAAATATACAGGATCACAACAGTGCGAGTGAGTGCAGGATAACATTATTCAGGGTAAATATACAGGATCACAACAGTCCAATTAAGTACAGGATAACATTATTCAAGGTAAATATACAGGATCACATCAGTGCGAGTGAGTACAGGATAACATTATTCAGGGTAAATATACAGGATCACAACAGTCCAAGTGAGTACAGGATAACATTATTCAGGGTAAATATACAGGATCACAACAGTCCAAGTGAGTACAGGATAACATTATTCAGGGTAAATATACAGGATCACAACAGTGCGAGTGAGTACAGGATAACATTATTCAGGGTAAATATACAGGATCACAACAGTCCAAGTGAGTACAGGATAACATTATGCAGGGTAAATATACAGGATCACAACAGTCCAAGTGAGTACAGGATAACATTATTCAGGGTAAATATACAGGATCACAACAGTGCGAGTGAGTACAGGATAACATTATTCAGGGTAAATATACAGGATCACAACAGTCCAAGTGAGTACAGGATAACATTATGCAGGGTAAATATACAGGATCACAACAGTCCAAGTGAGTACAGGATAACATTATTCAGGGTAAATATACAGGATCACAACAGTCCAAGTGAGTACAGGATAACATTATTCAGGGTAAATATACAGGATCACAACAGTCCAAGTGAGTACAGGATAACATTATGCAGGGTAAATATACAAGATCACAACAGTAAAACCAAGTACAAGATCACAACTGTCAAGGTAAGCACAGGATAACAACAGTCATAGTTAGTACGAGGTTACAACAGTCATAGTTAGTATAAAGTTACAACAGTGAATGTGTACAAGATCACAACAGTCGGAGTAAGAATAAGATAACAACAGTCCGAGTAAGAACATGATTAGAGCAATCGGAGTACAAATCACAATGCTTAGCAAATAAAAAGAGTAAAACTTTAAAGATTCGGTTCATTATAAGGTTTTTGCAAATATGGTCGTTTTTACAGAAAAGTACAGAAAAACATGTAAACATGGAAAAAAATTTAAGACATTACTGCCTGGACCGCCTCGACCTACATGTCATCCATTGACATCACGATTCAGTTATTTACTACAATGAATACAATATAATAATTGAAGTGTCAATCAAATGCCAAAAAAAAAGCAACTATGTGCAAGTAAATAAGGGAGACAAAGACAAACTTGTTCGGATAAAATTATATTTGATAGTTTCTTCTGTTTCAAAAACTTAAAACTTAAAACTAGAACCTGTGAACATTATTACCATTAAATATTACATTGCAATTATAAAACTGTTATACAAATTTAGTGACCTCTGACATTGACACCTATTTCAAAAGCTCATTTTTCAACTAATAACAAGGATTATCTACCTACACTTAATGCAATAATGGTAAAGGAAGCATAAATATCAACTATATATACAAACATTTGTCGTTTCAGGGTCTTTAATAGCTGACTCTGCGGTATAGGCTTTGTTCATTGTTGAAGGTCGTATGGTGACCTAAAGTTGTTAATTTGTGTGTCATTTGGTCTCTTGTGGAGAGTTGTATCATTGGAATGACAATCATACCACATCTTCTTATTTTTATATAAACAGGTGGAATCATGATTTACATCTTAAACGTTTGTGTGAAATGTTGATCAATGTTGTTTTCTCTCATTTTTTTATTTTTTTCTATTTATTTGGCCACATGCTAATACCATAATCCTTGTCTATGGGAAATCCAGATTTGAGGAATTTTTGTCATGAAAACATCATTTCTCATTAGTGCCTAATAGTGGCCAGTAATGTTTTGACTGCCTTTCTTTCTAGAAATAATGCTATAAATCGTGGAAAAGTTTTATTTTATTAAGCACTAGTTTGTATCTTTTGGGAATGCTCAGAAAAATTATCCCTTTAAAACAAGGATATGCATAATAAGCTGTTTACTGAAGTTAAGTGATTGGGAAATCACGAAGAAAGCATATTACACTACAAATAATAAAGGGGAGCCAATACCCGAGGTACATTAAAAAAAAACTTAAATCGAAAAAGAAACATTCAACACCATGTCCAAAAAACAATGCAGAACAGTCAAACAATTATGTACTAAACGGTGCAAAAAACTAAAGATTGAGTGACACGAACCACTCAAAACTTGAAAACCTGTGGCTCAAGCAGGTGCATCAGTAGTATTCGGTACCAATATTGTACGTTGCTTATGGCTAGCAAAATCTGGTATTCAGTAGCATTCCTTGATGCCATAAATTTGGAAAAGAGGATTGGGTTATGGCAACTCCAAGATGAATATAACATTGGTCATATGTGAAACAAATATTCCATTGTGGTATCTCTTTTGTACAATTATTTGTGCACTTCCAATGTACCTTTAATAATTTGTTTTGCTATGAAATTCATCATGAAATTGTTATATTTTGAGTGTATGCCCCTTGAGGGTCCATCATTTTTGGTTAATAAAATCTTGAATCTTGAATTTTGAATCTTGGTTCTAAAATCAAGAAGGCTTTAAGTACCACATTGTACCCTTGGTTCAGCAGATTCATCATTGCAAGCAAGAATTTTCTAACAAGCAAAGTATTATCAGAAAACTTGAAAACAAGTTTGAAATATAAAAGTATCAACTGGGAGATAATATACTCAAGTGACATATTTATCTGTTTAGGTGCTTATTAAAAAATATTTCAATGATAAAAATGGATGAAAATTTTCAATCATCTCTTTTTATTATAAAGTTTAGTTCTTAACCGTTATGAATCGGACATAACTGTATATGTGGTATCCTTTATTTCAAGTTTGAAGGGGTGGATCATGTGACGTACATATGTTCGCCAAACTTTGTTTATTCAGTGAGACAACAGTATACAAGTTCCTGGCATTCGTGATAAAAAGCCTCTGCGTAACATAGACATGAGTGTCTGGATGGGGGGTCCTTCATTTTTCTGTATCCATT